GACTGTATCTGTCTATACTTCGAGGTTCCGAGGAAAGGGCGAAACGAGCAGACACATCGTGAACATTTTCATCCGGCATCACCTCTGGATCATCCAGTGAATGCGATGATGGCTTTTGTCACAAGCACAGCCATACCCAGCTTTAAGATACTCTCGTCAGGAACTATCAACAACGATCGAAGACGGACTTGAAAATATACAAAACATCAGACCACCACCATGTTACGCTTTTTTAACGGACCCGTCATACTGGACACCACTCAATGACCTCATGATTGAGCGAACAGACGGCAATCATCCAGATACTCTCCTGGCTGAGGTTTTCGCTTTGGAAACTAGAATAAGCTGCGAAAAAGGCTCAGAGACTTTTCACTAGCCTATCTTGCAACTTGAAGTCCGGATGAATTGCAGGTTTGAATGTGATGTGGCATACTGCACATCCACACTCTGGCTGCTTGAGCCGCGATAAACCTGAAGTAGCCATCTTCTACGATTGAGTCGGATTCTCGAAATCACCAGCGGCAGTACAAGCGGCTTGATCTTCGAACGCATTCAACCACAAAAAGGCGGCTCGAGCAGAAGGGAAATGCCAGGACCCCCGACACTATGATCCAGATTCCCGGAGAGCTGCTTTGTTGATGAGCTCGGGTACAGTTGCTAAATCCACCAACTCTTTTCTACCGCCATTCACCCCACGCTTTACCAGCCTACTTGCCTATCTGGCCCGGGAACAGCAGCAGTTGCCGCCATTCTCACAAGACACGCAGTTTGTGGTTGCGCAGATCGAGACACGGTGCCTGCCATCGCCCGAACTGCAACACTGACACCACATATTGAGCCAAGCTACCCCGTGCCTGTGATAGGTTCAAAGTGGCGGTATCTGAAGTTGAGTCTTGCCAGGCGGCAGAACCACAGCTTATTGCGCAACCCCAGGTCCTCACGGTCAATAGCTTCTGAAGTCAAGTCACTACCCGCTGTAGATCCAGAGCAGTCGGCGAGTCGAGGCATCGAACTGATTGTCAGACGTCGACTCGTGTCATTGTGTTGGTACAAAAAGACGGGGCTTGACGGATGGCTACCGCACCAGGGCTGGTTTGTTCTGGACCCGACGGATGATCGCGTCTTCGAATCTCAACATCAGACAGAGACCAGATCTGAACTGGTTGATAGGCAGCCGCTGGCACACTGCGGAGTGCATAGTTGCCGGTCTGCTCGCACAAAAGCAAAGAAGTGAAGCGAAGTATGCAACCTGGCCCATTCGTCACATCGGAATCTCAACTGATATCCGCTACAAGCTTTCACTCCGGCCTGTTTAGTTCAGCATGCCAGTTGCCGGAACCTCGTTATATTTGCCATTGCATGCTGCAGTGGCACGCCGGTCTCTACATATGATCGCGATGATAGTGGCAGAAGACTTGGGATATCCCATGAATTGAACGCCCAAAGCCTGTGTGTGCCAGACGGCTCCCAGGTCGGTCTGAAGCACCATCACAACGGCGGTGATTGACGTGGTGCTGCTCAACATTGCAATATTGTCGATCAATTGCACAACATTTACTTACTTGTCGGCTACCGCTTCCCCATTGCCTGGTTCACATATTACAAGGTACCGTGCATCTCGGCCGTCTTCACACCACCTCAACTTGAGCTCTGTGACCAAGGGAATCATCACCAAAAACTGAACGAATGAAAGGTTGATTAGTCACCCCTTCGAAAAGCATTTTTTACGATATGAGCAGCCCCATGGCTCCTTTTCCAGATCGGCTGCTATCCCAAAATGACAATGTGATGTGTCATTTACCATGTGCCCGGGCTAAACACCAGGGGACAAGAACGTGGCACAGGGTTCCTGCTATGTCTTATGCAGAGCAAATATGGGCGCAGCTATCTTGTAAATTGTACCAGCCAAAGCATCAAACATTCTTTAGCGGATTAAGCCTGTATGGGGCAAGATCCTGAGACCATACTCTGCACGTTCCTCATTTCAGACAGCTGCAATCCGTTGTGGATCAGCGGTCCTGCAGCCACCAACATGGACAACGGCTTGAAAAGGACAATGGCGCTGTCGGCGTGTGTCAGGGCGCAAACTTGACTCAGTCCAGCAATGTTCTCTAGCCCTACTAGGTTGACAAAGGAACGGCCCTGGGGAAAGGGGAAACGGGCAGCAGAAAGGCTCGCAAGGAAAGCCACCAAAGTGAGCTTCATCTGGGAAATGGGCATCGAAGTCTCAACAGAGGAACAATCAGCAGAGGAAGTCCTGTCGTCTCCCGTCCCAGATCTGACTTGCTTGCCTTGCATCAAGATGCTGGAATGCATAAAGACAGGGGGGTTGAGGCAGTTATCCGCGATCGGGGCATCCAGCCCGGTCAGCAACCATCTGGAGGAAAATGTGATGAGATATCCTTTGTGATATTTGGGGTCTTGAAAGTGGCCGGATAAAGGTCGGAGGCTGGTATGAGAAGGGCCACGATTTTATGCTCATCGAGCCGACTTCCCAGTTGACGTTCCATTTGTTTATGGCTTGCCCAGGCTTTGCCAGTATCTCACTCATGGCAGACTTGCTGGTTGCCCTACCCCAAGCTTCTGGTGGTTAACCGAGAGAAGTGTTTTGGCACTCCTTTTCCTCTTTTTTTTTCC